GGGCTGTGTCTCAGCACAGAGCGAGACCCAGCTCTGCCATGAGTGGTCAGTAAATCCAAACATTCACCCAAGACCAATCATGGATCCACCCGTTGCATTCCACAGCAGCAGATAAACATTGTTTACATTTTGTTGCTGAGGCCACAGCTTCTCAGAAGGGGGAAAAATCCTAAAGAAAGGATTTTTATGAAAGATGTCGGTGACAAGCTGGAAGGTGTCTGGAAGTGGGGACAGGCAGTGGAGGGCAGGGACTGGTGGTGGCACCCTCATGCCAGGCCCCCCAGCCACATCTCCTCTCCACTGGGTCCAGTGGCTCGCAGTGAGCAACTGCCCCGAGAGCCCAGCTGCAGTTTTGCAGTTTTCCTGGCAAAGTCCTTCAATGTCTTAAAAAAGAAAACCCCAACATTTTTCTCTGGGAGAAAGCAGTGAGTTCCCAAATCCAACCTGCTGCTGGGTCTGGGTCACCAGACATGATGCAGCTTGTGGGGACTGTTCTGCATCATCAAAATAATTCATTTGTGCATTTAAACACCTAAGGTCCTTTCTATATTAAAAACAGGAAAAGAAAAAAAAGTGCCCTGATGGCTACCAAGGGCCAGGTTGAAACAGGAGCACCACTGGCACCCTGGGATGGAGCCCACAGCCTCAGGAAATGAGCTGCACTTTTCCTCTTAGTGCCACTCTGCCAGGGGATACTGTGCCCTCATTGCCCAGCTTTCTGGGCTGGGTGAGGACAACACAGGCACCTTCCCCACCTTCATCCTCCTCCTTCCCACTGCTGTGGCTGTGGCCCCGTGTGCGACCCTCGGCATCCCAGCTGGTCCCTTCACCACGGCAGTCCCAGCAAAGGGAGCTCAGCCAGCTTCTCCATCGCCTCGTTACCTTTCCCTGGCATCTCCTCTTGCAGGAGGCTCTGTGAGCAGGTTGATAAATGCAAGGCATGGTGCTCTGACAGCTCCTGGTGTGCAGCCACCTCCTGCAGGGAAGAGCTCACTGGCAGCCAGGCTGAGGGAGCAAGGAGAATGTGCAAGGCTCGTGTTGGGACTCTGATGTTTGCCCAGGTTTGCACTGGCCCATCTAGGCCAACACCAGTCAGAGAAGCGCCCTGGGCTCTGTGCAGACTCCTCAGAGCCCACTGCACCCCGCTGGCATCTCACCCCCTAAACTCGGGTAAAGCCCCACATCCTGCCCCAGCCCCCTCCATTCTGGCTCCCCCAGAACTCCAGCCTTGCAGAGCTCCTGGGGATCCCCACCTCCAGCACAAACCTGCACCCAGAGCCACTCAGAGCACCCACCCCCAGCCAGGAGAGGTTTTACCAAGGCTTTGGTATCTCCAGCTCTGTGAGACAAACCCCAGCATCAGCTCCTGTTCCTGGGAGGGTCAGTGTAAGGTTTCTAATCCATGTGCATCCTAGACCAGTACTTGGGGAAGGAGAGGACCTGCATCTGTGCATGGCCAGCACAAAGCCAGAGCTGCCCCTGCAAATATAGAGGGGCATCTGGGTGACACAGCTCTCTTGGGCTGTCCCCACAAGCATCTGCAGCCTGCTAATGGCATCTGACATCAGAGCCCACAGGTCCCTCTGCCAGTGCTGAGTCTTGCAGGTGACACTTGTGGCACATGGGATTTGGCCATGGGCCTACCTCCATTCCCTGCCCTGCACTCATCCCCACCCTGCATCCATCTCAGTCCTTCCTGTTGGCTGCCAACCTCTCCTTCCCAAGAACTCTGGCCAAAACCCAAGAAGGCCTGAGCCCAGGTGCTCCTGTTCCTGTCCCCTCTCCTGTTGGGTCTCACTTCAGATGTAAACACAGGTGTAGATCATCTTTCTCCACACTGTGCCACCTTGAGCTGACAGGGCCACCCCTCCTTCCCCACCTCCCCTGTCTGCTCCATCCCACAGAGAATTCAGGGCTCCAGTGCTTAAATAGTCACACAGAGCTGGCTGATATTTTGGATCCCAGCAGCCATAAAAGCAATCAAGGCAGAGAGTGGAGCAAGGAGAAAGGTGGGACAGAAGGCACGGGGATGTTGCTGTGCATGGTGCATGCCTGGCATGGGTCTGGTGCAGCTCCAGCCTGGCACAGCTCTGCTGCCACCATGTCCTACCTTCACTGTAATTAAGGGAGCAAAAATAAACAGGGATGGTTTTGTCCCCGCAGGATTATTTCCTCCCCGTGGGGTGGCATGTGCCTGCAGCGCTGCCCCAGAGGTTGGGGATGAGGCAGACAAAGCTGCTGGAAATGGAAATTTCCCAGGAAGGAAGGAAATCACTTCTTTCAGACATCACCCACCAACAACTTTATCTGCTGCTGTCGTATCCCTAAATAACTCCTCGAAACAGCTGCTTGGAGTTTGCATCTCCTACACCTCTGCTCCTCTCTTGACCTTGAGAAATGGGCTCATGCAGTCCCAATTTCTAAAGTCATTCATGCCAAACAGAGGGAAAACATCTGGACTCGCAGCACCACTACCTGACCCTGCACAGCCCTTCAACAACAAGCAAAGACTTTGGCAAGGCTGGATCTGTAAGACTGGGCAGGAAAACCATGAGCCTGTGGTGGGTTTGGAGTCAGGGATGAGCTTGGGGGCCTCTGGGAGAAGGGATGATGTTGTCCCTTGAGTGAAGTGGCTTCCTGGGCACAGTGGGGCTGGTGTCCCACTCCAATGACCCCAGAGCCAACGTGTTCTCCATCCCTGCCCAGGGCTGGGGATGGATCTGGACGGGAAGAGCACATGAGGGATGTGCCCGGGAGAGCAAGGAGTGAGGGTGGGTTAAGGCAGGGCCGGAGCTGTGCTCAGCCAAGGCGCTGAGGTCAGCACTCTCCGGAGCCATCTGTTCCCGGCGAGGCCCCGGCGCAGACGGGCCCGCCGGGCTCCGGGTGCCGCAGTTCGGTGATTCCTGCGGACAGGCCCCGGTGCAGACGGACACACCGGGCTCCGGGTGCCGCAGTTCGGTGATTCCTGCGGACAGGCCCCGGTGCAGACGGACACACCGGGCTCCGGGTGCCGCAGTTCGGTGATTCCTGCGGACAGGCCCCGGTGCAGACGGACACACCGGGTTCCGGGCGCCGCAGTTCGGTCACTCCTGTGGAGAGGCCCCGGTGCAGACGGGCCCGCCGGGCCTCGGGTGCCGCAGTTCGGTGACTCCTGCAGTGAGGGGCCGGCACAGGCCTGGCCGCCGCCCCTGCGCCACGGGGATGGGGCTGGAAAATCGGGTATTAGCCACGCTTGGGAAAAGCCTTTTCAACCATTCTTCTGGTCGCGTGAGCTGGCTTTAAACAGCAACACAGCTCCTCAGTGCCAGGCCAGAGATCCAACTCCAGCTGGTTTTTCCCTTATTCGAGAGCGCAGGAAACCTCCTGCTTTGTGGGCTCTGAATACTCACTGGAAGAGGCCAACTTCAGCAGGCAGTCAGCTAGCCAAGCCAGTGAGAGATCTGCTCTTGTCTTCTGGGAATGGTTGGAAAATGAAGCATCAACAGGAGCTTCTGGGATGTGCCAGACATGCTACTCCAAGGCAGGAGCCCACAGGCAGCCAACGAGCCTGAGGAGCTTGCCTGGACATCTTCAGACAGGGAAACTGAGGCACAGCAGTGCAAAGCTACAAGAGGAAGTTGCAAAGACCCAAATGGAACCATGTCACCACCCCACAGTGTGGCAAGCTCGGCCCCACAGCCAGTCTGGCCACCTTTCAGAGCAGCACACGGGAGACAGGGAGGGAAGTGGGAGCAGGGAGCCGTGTCCAGCCACTCTCCAGGCCATCGCTCACCACATGCTGACCTCCAGCAGCTTTGTGCAGCCTCATTAAAGCTAAGCTGAGCCATAATTCATCCAAGCACGGCAATCCACATGCAGAGCTGGCAGCGACGACTTTCAGTGTTTCAGGCCTCTTTCCAACAGCAGACGGGTGTCACTCACAGCATCGCCTTTCCAGCTCCTCACCTGCAGCAGAAAATGGCCTTGGAGCTGCTGCTGTGGCCGCTCAGGAGAGCGGAGGGCGAGGGGATGGCTGCCCGGCCAGGCTGCCCTGCTGCCCCTCCGCGCTGGGGACACACCAGGGGCAAACACAAGGTTACTCATGCCCGAAAGCAGAGCCCGGATGCGAGCGGGAGCCTGCAGGGCTGCCCCAGGCTGCCCGGAGCCCCCGGCCCGGGGGTGCCAGGTCACCCCCATCCCCGCCCGGCCCCACGCTCCCCGGTGCGGGCTCCCAGCGCCACCTAACGACGCGGCAGCGGGGACAGGGACGGGGACCTTCCCGAGCGGGGACAGGGACCTTCCAGAGCGGGATGCAGCTCCGTGCCCTGAGGAGGATGGAGGGCGGCGACAGCGATGGGGAGGCAGAAGAAACCTGGACACAAGGCTGGGGCTTGGGCTCGTAGGCAGAAGAGGAAAGGGAGCTGGAAGCGTTGAATAAAAATTTACATGATTGTAAGCCATCCTCCCTCTGCCCATGAGGCTCAGTCCCCTGTCCCTGCCCTTCACTGACCTTCATCATCCCATGATTTTCCCACAGACCAGCATTAACCCCAGGGCCTTGGCCAAGTTCAGGGTTGAGCAAAGTCACTGAGCTCAGCAAGGACAGACACTCCTGTTAATCTGTTATCACAGCCCAAAAACTACCCTGAAGCATCCTCAGTTTGGGAACAGCCACGTGCCAGGCTCAGCATGAGCAGTGGCCTTTTCCACCGCTACAAAAGCACCCTGGCATCAACATTCAAGGCGATATGGAAGAAAATCCTGGGGAGGATCCATCTCCTCTCTTCACAAAACCTTCAGATTTGATGCAGCCACAACAACCCCTTGGCTGTCACATTCCTGGCTGGGCTGCCAAGCTGAACTGCTGCTCCCCGTGGTAGGTGCAGCCCCCTCGCCTCCCTCCCCCTTCCCAAAGCTCTGATTCACCTCGGAACCCAGCACTGATGTAATCTCCTGCTCGAGAGTTCAGCATTAGGACTGCATCAGCCACGAGAGGTAAGGAGAGCCACATCACACAAACAGCTGTTCCACAAAAGCTTTATTGCTCGTTTGAGTACGAGTTCCCATTATCACATTTCCTGAGTTTCTTAATGAGCTTTCAAATGAGATTTAAATAGAAAAGTATGGGAGAGAAAAAGGGAAAAATAGGGAGAAGTCAGAGATCTCCCTTCCTTGAGTTGAGTCAGAGATGAGGTGAGAGAACAGTGCCCTGTGGGCAAGTCCTCTGCCGTGAGAGCTGGGCTGAGGTGGAGGTTGCCCTAGCTCGATCTCTCCTGTGCCTCCATCACAGAGCCACTGCCATTGTCACCATTTCAGGCCAGGGAGGAGGGGTTGCAATCCTGCAGTGCTCTGGCAGGGAGCACGGGGGGGGGGGCTGGGGACAGCCAGGGAAGGGGCCCCGCTGACGCTGCCCCTGCGCCAGGGATAAAAGGAGATTACAGCTCACGGCTTGTAATCTGGCTTAAAACCTGACACCGTCACCGTAGGCAATCTGGGCTAAGAGAAGCATTTAATAAGCTTCAAAACACACAGACAAAAAATAATATAACCCCACCAGTGAAAGGAGAGAAAGAGCTCAAGGCACTGCTTGCACCAGTCAGCACTGGCAGGTACCAATGGACACAGGATCCCTCATGATCCTGAACAAGGCAATTACATGCTTGTTATCCCAATCTACCCTGTAAGACAGACTGTGGGCAGCAGAAGGCAAATTAACTGTGGGAAGTAGAAAGCAAATTAATGCCCTTTTCTACTTGTGTAGAGCTCACAAGTGGAGAGCACCCAGAGCTGCCTTGCCTTGGGACATTGCAGGAGCTGCAGCTCTGAGGTCAAGGCAGTGGCAGACAAAGAGCCCAGACTCAAGTTGTATGTCCATTTTGGCTTCCCTGGAAGGGTTTATTTTTTAAAAAACATCATTATTAAAAGATGCCTGCTCTGGCATGAATGACAAGGCAACAAACCCATTTGGCTTGTGGCTTAGAGGGGAGGCAGCAAGACACAGGGAAACTTCTCCATGTGACCTGCTGTGAGAGAAAGGCTGGTCAGGAGTTCCCCAGGTGCACACACACCTCCCTTCACCTGCACTGCATGATTCATTAATGTTTCAAAGACAGACAAGAATCATCCTCAGGAATGGTAGCTGGCTGCAGGGATGTGGGGCCAGCCAACAGCCTCAGGTCTTGAGACTTTGGGAACCCAGAGTTCGGTATTACCAGAGAGGCCCCAGTGTCACACACCCCTCCAGAGCCACCACCAGCCCCAGACAGAAGCCCTGTGCTCCTGGCTCTGCTCATGACCCACTGGTGTTGCCCCAGGACGGTCCCACTGGGGCAGTGCCAGGGCCCCACCAGGGCTGCCTCAGTGACCGATGATCCGCAGCATCTCCGCAGGATCCACGATCTTCTCCCGGGGTTTGCCAGCAGCTTTGCCTCTCGCCACTTCCGCAGCATCAATCTTCTCCCAGTCCGAGAAGGAAACGGGACGGACCCCTGAGGTGATGGTGAGACACAGGAGAGAGAATTTAACCAAGTAAGAACAAGTTCAGCCTCACCTCCCCATTGGCAGGGCCCTGATGTGGCAGCAGAGCTGCCCTTTTCCGACACGGTGTCAGAGCTCAGCCTCGCAAAGGAGAAATAATTCCTAACGCCACAAGGAGAGGGGTGGCAGGTTCCAGTCGGCTCGGATCAGTCAGACCTTTGTGAGCCGTAACAACAGCGAGCACAAACCACCTCGGGGGACAAAATGCTTCCAGTTCACTGTTAAACCTCAGACAGTTTAAGAGGCAAAACACACACACACACTTTAATTGAATGTCTTTAAACACAGCTACAGCAAATTACTCTCCTGGGCATTTTAATCTTTCCCCTAACTTGCTTGGAAGGATTACTAGGAAAACCACTCAAGAGCAATAGCTCACTGTCTCGGCAGCTGACACTGACATTTTACCCAAGGTCTGTGCTGCTTTTATTGGCCCTTCCCAGAAAGTGGTCATTAACCTCAGCAATGACACAGATATTTGAGAGAATTCAAGCCCTGTTCTCCCTGGGCTTTGGAACATCAAAACAGCAGAATAATCCATTCCCATGGTTCGGACTCTGCTCCCCCACAGATCCAGGAGCAGTTTGGCTGCATTGATCCCTCCTGCTGGTTGCTACTGACCCTCGCACTGACCTCGGCTGTGCAGGATGCTCTCCACAAGCCCAAAGCCTTCTCTGGAAGGGGATATATCCAGCACACCCCCCTGGAGATCCTCCAGCAGAGACTGGGCAGTGTCAAAGCTGTCGTTCATGGTAGTGATGATCACGCCTGTGGGTCCTCTCTTCACCCACCCGCTGCAGTACAGACCTGCAGGGGCACATGGAGCAGCCAGGCTCAGGTCAGCACGTGGCCTTGGATCCTTCTGGCTGCAAGTCCCTGCCCTCTTCCCCCCCTTGGTGATGTGGACAGACTCTTACACAGTGCTGTGGCAGGAGTTTGTGTACCTACAGATGAGCAGCTGCATGGGCTGTGTCACTTTAGTAACAGGGTGCAGTAAAACCCCTGTGCTAAACCAGACAACCCTAAAGAGATGGAGACTGGCCAGCTCTTAACCCCTGACAGAGGCACCTCATGCCCTCAGTTCCCACTCTCCAAGATGTGCAATACCCATACCCTTGGTGAGTAACTTCCCACCCCAAAGCCCCCAGCCCAGCAGCTGTGCTCAGCAGGACCCATGCAAATCCCTGTGGATGCAGACCTGGGACACCCTCGACTCTGCCCGAGCTGTTGGGGATGACCCCGCGCTGGCTGTCGAAGGGCACGGCCGGGTCCAGCGGCAGGCTCCGGTAGCCGATGCTGCTCAGCACCAGCCCACACTCCAGCTCCTCCACATCTCCAGTGGGAATGGCTTTGGCAGAGTCACCCGAGCCCTGAGAGAGGGAGGAAAAGGCTGCTGACCACCACAGTCACCACTGCAGAGCAACAGCCCCCTCCAGTCCCCTTTGGCATCTTTGACCCCTGGGTATTTGCTAAAGGCCATTCTGCAGCAGCATCAGGGAAAGAGCTCACTTTGGAAAAACTCTCTGTGGTACCAGAAGCTCTTTTGGTACCAGATTCCCTAAGAGCCTGCCAGAGGCCACTCCTGACAGCCAGGGCACACAGAGGTGTCTTTGGGGAGATTCCCAAGGGATGGATGTGTCCTGCTCCACCCCAGCCCCCAGTACCTCGAGGCGGGTCAGGGCCATGCGGACGCCCCTCGCCCTGCTCCCATCAGCACTGGGCAGCACTTCCTGGGGGCTGCGCTGGAACTTCAGCCCCCACTCCCGGGGGGCTGCTGCCCCTGCTGCCCCTGCCTGCATCTCCACTGGCTTCTCCAGGGCTGTTTTGATCATCAGCTCAGTCAGTCTCTTCCTGGGCCTGGAAGCATCTAGGAAAAGAGAGAAATCTTCACAACAGGAATCAACAAAAACCCCTTGAGACACAGCACTGGGCCAAGGCTATGTCAGGGCTGTGTCAGTATGTGAGTCTGTCATGTTGGTGGGAGCCTGACACCTTTGAGATGACAAACTGCGAGTCAAAGTGACCAGAGGACCTCCTGAGGCTTGAGGCCAGTGGGACACACAAATCAAAGTCTGCAATTTCCTGTCTTGCTGGTGCTTGGAGGCAGCAGCCCGTGGAGAAGAGCAGGTCTCTGGACACCCTTGAACTCAGTGTTTTCTTTTCAGGTCTGCAGGAAGCTCTTAAATCAACAGCCTTGGGATCTCCCCAGCAAGGTTCCCTCAGCCCTCCTGAGCCTCCTGCCCTCATCACTCAGAGTGTAAGCACTAAGTGGCTGCACAAACAGAGATACACAATGTTCCCTTGTCTTGGTGCCTCCTGGCACTCTGAGGACATGACACACCATGGTAACAGCCTTCATGAGCCAGGCATTAAGTACAGGACGAGACTCTTTCTGATGTACACTCTGGGCACCTGCAGATCACTCCTGGTTGCTCACCTGCCAAGGTGAGTCCCTGTCTGGACAAGCATGGCACACTTCCCTCACCTTTGACAGCACTTTCGAGGCCTGTGAAGTCAGCAGGGTCCAGGACAGCTCTGGCACCAGGCAGGTTTATCATCTCCCGCAGCTCCTGGGAATTGTGGGCAGGAAAATGTAACCTCCAGCAGAGAGAGGACAGCCCCAAACCCCTAGGAGCCAGGAAATGGGTGCAGGAAGGAGGATGCCTGGGATCCACACTCACCCCCAAACCACCCCTCCCCACCAGGGACAGGCAGTTTGGGGCTCAGCTCTGGGAAACAGCAGCACCTCCAGCCTCACCTTGATGGTGAAAGCGACTTGGAGAGGTCCCCTCCTCCCAACCAGCCAGACACGCTTCACCTTGCTGCAGGCAAGAGCTGCCAGGGAGCTGTCAGTGATGTCTGTCTTCTGCAAAACAGAGACAGCAGAGTGGGATGAGGGCAGATCTGGAGGGAGCTGGGGAGAAGGCACAGCCTCTGAAGGTGAAAAATCAGCAGAAAAGCTGGCTGTGCATGCAGAGAGCCCGGGCGAGGACGGGAAAGAAGTCATCTCCCTTTGCACAGAGCTATTTGCACAGCTGGTCCCTCATCACTGAATGTTCTTTCCGAGGCCATAATGCACCAGAGGTAACGAGCCAGCACCCCGTGACTGCCTCGGGGGATCCACCCAGCAGGTTCACCTTGGGGCTAACAGAGCAAAGCCTTCACTCAGCTCCATCCCGAGGTGCCTGCAGATGCTGTTGGGGAAATTCCCAGCTGAGGATATACAGGCTCTGGATGAAACCTGCTGCAAACCACAGCTCAAATCAGCACCTGCCTGCCCCAGGCAGCTCCAGCACAAGCACAAGCCTCAGCCTGGCACTGGCACCTCACAGAAATCCTGTGCTCTGTTTCAATCATGTCTGCTTATCCAGACTGCAAGATCTTGTCCAGAGAAAACACGATGGGAGAGACACAAGGTCACCAGGATAAACCATTCCAGACCAATATTCCTGTCAGGAACTACCTGCCCACCCTGGCACTCATACCAGTGCCATGTCTTTTGCAGCACTGCTCCCAGCTGGCTTAAGTCACTGGTTGGCAGCGTCTCCAAGTCTGGGGGCTTTTATAATTTAATTTAGATATTAATACAGGAAGCTGCTGCACAGGTGTAACAAACCTCGTGGCATTTCTCCCAGAGGGAAAGCCTTTGCTGCCAACATCTGGGGCAGCAGCTGTATGGAGCAGCTGGTGCACACCAGCTCCCAGCTGTCTGTAGGGATGAGGTCCACCAGTGTGCCCAGTGCCACCAGCTGAAACCAGGCTGCTGCCCTCAGCTCCAGCAGAAAAAGATAAACCTCAACAGAAGTTTCTGCTTTGGTGGCAGAAGTGAGAAAGTGGCTCCTCTTTTGCTTCTCATAGGGATGATGCTCAATTTCCAACGCTTTAGATGCCAGCAGAGCAATCCAGAGGCCTCTGCAGCATCACCCAAGTCCTGGCCACAGCCTTGGATCACTCCCTACAGACCGTGAATCCGTGGGTGCACCCAACAGGCAGCAGCCTTCCCAGGGAAACATCCCAAAGACAGAGGAGTTTGAGGTTTTGGTGGGAGCCAGCAGGCACCCAGCAGGGAGGGAATCTGTGGTATGGGCTGCCCTCACGGGGCAGAGCTGCCATCACTCACCCTGAGGAGCTGCAGTGGGGACAGCAGGATGCGGGCAATGTCCAGTGCCACATTGCCATGACCCAGGATCAGCGCTGTCTCACAGCTCAGGTCAGGCTTTAGCTGTGGGGAGAGACCCAGCTGTGATGAATCCACATGGCCTCCACAATGTCCAGCCCTTTAGACCCGCTCCTACCACCCAAATTCCCTTCCACCCTGCTCTGCCCCAAAAAGAGATGATGCAGCTTGGCAAACTCCACACCAGCCCCCTCCCCAAGCAGACACAGCAACACAGCTGCTCCAGGCACCCCAGATGATCCCCCTTTCCTGTCCTCCTGGGAACAGGAGCTGTTTTGGCCAAAAAGGCTCCTCAGGAAGCAGAGCATCACCCCTACAGGTTCCCATCTGGCCCTGCCAAAATGTGCTGCCAACGTGCACAGCCAGCTAATCCACTCTCACTGATGTGCAAATTGTTCACATTTCTACCATCTAAGAAGGATTTAACATGGCTTCTGCTAATCTTTTCCAATTGCAGGCCTTTCAGGACTTAATCTGGAGCTGAATGCCTGTATTGGGATGGAAAGAAGGACGGGAGGAAGGGCAGGGAAGCACAGGGCCATACTCACATCCTGGTTCTCAGGCAGCCCGTTGTACCAGCCCACGAAGGCTCGGGCTGAGTAAACACCAGGGAGGTTCTCCCCTGGGATCCCCAGGACCCGGTTGTCTTCAGCACCGTAACTCTGAGGAGGCAGCGGGCACAGTCAGAGATGTCACTATGTGCAGGATTTGACACCAAAACACAAATCCCCCCTTCCAGCTGCTGCCAGGGTCACTGCACAGCTGTGATATCCCCTCCCAAAGGCTGAGCTACTCAGTGGAAGGGCTAAACACAGCCCAAGCACAGGGGCTTCATCCACCTCATCGTCCTGGGCTCCAGAGCCAAATTCAATGTCCTTGGTCCAAGGCAGAGCATGACAAGCTGTGGACTGATCAGCAAGGACAAATCCATGGCAGGCTAAAATAAGCACTGGCCAGCACAGGGAGAAGTTTCAAAGACCTGCACTTGATGCCATGCTCCAGCACATGCCCCCTGCAAGGGATTTGGACAAGCCTGCGAGCATCTGAGCTGTCCCAAGGCTGGGAAGAGCTGCCCATGGTAACAAGGCACCCAGAAACACCTCACCCAAACACTCTTCCCAAGATGCCAGTGGAGAACAACCCTGCAGACCTTCCCCAGGACTCGTGGGGCACCAAGGCTCGGGTACCCACCAGCACCACGGCGTGGTACGCCTGCTGCAGCTCCGGCACCGTCACATCCCTGCCCACGGTGACGTTCCCGTAGAAGCCGCAGCGCCCCGAGCGCGCCGTCTGCGTGAAGGTGTTGGTGACGTTCTGCAGAGAGCACAGAGCCACAGCTGCAGCCACAGCCAGGCCAAGGCTGCTGCTCACAGCACATCCCTGGGCCTGCCCCCTCCAGCCTTGAGATCTTCACCGCCTCATCCCAATCAAGGTATTCTGAGACTCTTATCTACCAACAGCCAGAGATAACTCACGGGGAGATAAGCACAGCTGTGACTTGGCACTCTCTCCACCACCCTTTGTGAAAGGAAAATCCATATTTTGTAGCCACCTAGGGAGGACAGGACTTTCCCAGTACATTCAGCCCCTCAGAATAAACCCCACTGCAGGGGAAAACTCCTTCCCAAAAGTGAGGTTTGCAGCCCACCTGGTCCCCTCTGCTGGCATCTCATCTCAACCCTTCCTGAAAGCCCCTTCCTCGAGAGAGGATGCAGGGCACGATGGCATCCAGGCCTTTTTCTTCTCAGTGATCAGGGCTACACAGCAAAACCACCACTCCCAGCCCTGCAGCCCCAGATGGACTCAGCCTGGGGACAGGACAGACACCACCACATCAGCTGGGGCAGTGTCTGCAGCATGTCCATTCCTCCCCTCTCACACAAAGGGATCCAGGCATTTCAGTCTTTGGGTCTCCAGGGGTTAGAGGAAGCCGCTGCAAGATATTACTGTGTCTGGATCTCCCATGTCTGGATCTCCTCTGTCCTACCCTTCCAACCACCTCCACTCCAGCTCAGATATAGCAGATACTCCTGGGTACCACTCACTGCCAGGCAAAGGAAAATGGCTGGGAAATCCTTGGTTTAACTTTTCCTTGCCCAGGGGAGCCCCTACAGCCCAACTCCACTGCCCCCATGAGGAGATCTGTGTGTTCCCAGAATGGGTACTGCTTGAGGGGCAAACAGCAGCAGCAATGAGCAGCCCAGGGACACAGAAACCCATCTGTGCTCCTTGGCCTTGCTCTGGGCCAGGCTGACCAGCACCAGGAGCAGCACTTCCCATCACAAGCTCCTGGTTGGGGCCCACTGCCCTGAGCCCTTATGGCAGGTGTCCCATGTCACCTGTCTGCGGCCTTAGCATGGACAAGGAGGAGACCTAGACCTCTCTGGCCTGACAGCTCCATGTCACAGAGAGCCTGGGGCACCAGGAAGGACAGTGACCACCTCAGCTGCACCCACCACACTCAACCACACAGCAAGGGCAGGGAGCCAGCACCAACCTTGACCTCAGGGTGGTCTGGGGCCACTCCAAAACGCACCAGTCCAAAGGGAACGGGCAGCTTCTCATAGATGTCCACCAGGGCCCCACCATGGTGCTGCAGGAGGAGAAAGTCACAGCCAGGATGAGGACAGAAAGGTCACAGCAGCCTAGCAACACTCATCTGCAGCTGGGGGAATACAGGGCAGGAGGATGGGCTGCAGCAAGCCAGACACAGCCTGTTCCAGACCCTTCCATGAGCAGGATGATGCTGCACCTGTTACTACCAGCTCAGACCACAAGATGTAGCACAGAGTGACCCCAGCCACCATCAAGTCCATCTTGTGGGGCTCCATCTCCCTGCCCAGTCCTGAGCTCCTTTTCCACACTACCCTGGTGGGCATCCAGTGCCTGGGGGGCTGATCAGAGAGCCCCAGGCCAGCTGGGAAGCAGCCAGTACAGCACCCTGGGGGCTGGGGAACTGCCAGACATCTCCCAGTCCCCAGCAGAGTTGCCCATGCCCTGACATGGCCTGGGCTGAGTCACCTCAGGGTCAGAGCCTTAGACAGACCCTTGGCTGCAAGGCTTTTGTTATCTTGTATTTTGAGTCAGCCTCTTCCCGAGATTAAGCAGCCCTGAAATTCGTCCCTGAGGCTTAGTAACAGCTATTTTCCAACACATTCCAGAGACAGCACAGCATGGTTTAATGATGGGGTTAAGCCGCTGTATCTCTGGAGGGTGCCAGTAACCCAGTTCTGTGTTCAGGTCTCATTTCCCAACAGACCTGACTGCCCAGAGCACTGGCATCTGCAGACACAAGGTAAAGCATCACCCATGTGTCTTAATTCTGCTGGGAGAGGAGGGAGGAGAGCAGGTCCCGCACAGCCACTTCAAATGCACAGTTAATGTCATTCCTGCTGAGTGACAACAGCTTTGAGCGAGGCAGATTCCTGCTAATTATTTGATTCTAGAAAAGTCACTTGGGATGAACTCACAGCAACCAAAGTCCTGAATGGACAACCCAGGGGCAGGGCAGGGATGAAAGCAGTGGTACCGACCCCAACCAAAGAGGCCCAGAAGGACTTTGTGGAGTCTGGGCAGCCCCAAGCAGCTCCCAACAACACCGACCTGGCTGGAGCAGGGCCAGGAGCCCACAAACCCACCCCAGCACCGCTGAGAGGCAGGCAGGGCAGAGAGGCCTCCCCCGCGGGCAGATCCCGTGGCGGTACCTTGAGGATGTGCTGAGCCGTGTAGAAGCCGGCGGGGCCGCTGCCCACCACGCAGACCCGGGGCGCCGGGGCGGCCGAGCACAGCCACCGCCGCAGACCTGCGGGGGAGAACGACAGGCAGGGCGTGAAGCCACCGGAGCTGGCACCCGAGCTGGCACCCGCCGGGGCCGGCGCGGCCCCTCCCCGGAGCCCGGCACGCACCCAGCGGGGCTCGGCCCCCCGCGCCGGCCATGACCGCAGCCGAGCAGAGCGGGGCCGGCGTTCTGCACCGCACCGGGAGCTCAGGGACAGCGGCCTTGGCGCTTGGGGCCGGGCCGGGGCCGGCGGGTGTGAACGGCTGCAGAGCCCAGAACCGAGAGCCCGAGCCCGCGCACCGGGGTCCCAGGGGCCGCACGGTACCCTCAGCCCCAGGGGTGGAGCAGGGCCCTGCGGGGCGCCGTTCCCTCAGCCCCAGGGGTCGAGCAGGGCCCTGCGGGGCGCGGTTCCCGCGGTTCCCTCAGCCCCAGGGGTGGAGCAGGGCCCTGCGGGGCGCGGTTCCCGCGGTTCCCGCAGCCCCGCGGTTCCCCCAGCCCCGGCTGCCCCGCTCCGGGCCCGCTCCCCCAGGGCACGCGTTCGCCGGGCCGCGTTCCGCTGCCGCCACCGGGCCCCGCCCCTCACCGGCCAGGCCCCGCCCCTCCTCCTCACTGACCAATCCTGAGGCGGCACAGCGCCTTGCTTAGCATAGCCCCTCCTCCCGTCACCGCCCCGCCCCGCCAGCCAATGGCAGCGCCCCATTCCCACTGCGGCGGACCGGAAGCGCGGTGTTACCATAGAGAGGCGGGGAAGGAAGGGCCGGCTGGCGGCCGCTCGCACCGCCGCTCTCTATGGTGAGACGTCCGTGGTACCAGGCGCGCTCTCGCAGCATCATCATCATCATCATCACTGATGCTGCTGATTGCCTGCGCCCCTTTGCCGCCCAGACAGCGACCAGCTGCCGAGATCTGCCGGTGAAAGCGAACCTCAGACTGATTTTAACCATGCGCTGCACAGTGATCTTGTTCTTGGCAGGATAAAACCCCAGCGTCCTTCAGTAAAGGGTAAAACATTAACGCCAGAGAGAGTGGATAAATGATGCTGGCAGAACTCCTGCCCCAGCGTCCCCACGGTCGCTGCTCTATTTCCTCCTTCATCCCCATCACAGCGCATTTCAGATGCTGGTGCTCTCACCTCCAGGCAGGAGCACTACATCCCATCGTGTTCAGCCACTGCACAACACTCCAGACAGAAAAATCATCTCAGCGGGCCCAGCAGACATTGAAAAGTTGGCCAGATGCCAGAGCACGCAGGCAAGTGCTTGACAGGGCTCTTAAAATGCAATTAAGACCATGAGGAGTTTACAGCCAGGAGCTGGTTGTAATATGGATCATAAAATTCACACACTTTCTCTCCTGGTTTTGGAAATGAGCTGATGGCTTTCTGCAAAGGCATGCTGGAAACGGCAGCTGCCTCTGTGCCTCCTTCTGCACCTGCTCCTTCAGGGGGCTGTGGCCAGGACCAGGAATTCCAACTGCTCCAAACCCTCATCCTCAGGTCAGCACAGCAACCATTGAGCCCCTGCCCAGAGGAGCAAGGCTGAAGGCTCCAAATATCACCACAGACGTCATCCACAAAAGCAGCAAGTTTAAATTTGGAGGGTTCCAAGTCAGAATCCTCCTTTTTTTCCAGAATTCTCCCTTTCCCCCTTTAACTTCTGTATCCACCAGTTCTGGCAGGGAATAATCCGTCTATTTCCCAAATCACAGGCTGTCTCCTGCTGGCTAAGGGACCTGCAAACACTTGCCTTCAGCTGGCATTGCTTTAAACAACATCCACAAAATGCAGCTGGGGAGGAGCTGTTGCTCTGACCAATGCCTGGGAACATTTTGGGGCTTGATCTCTTGCAGCAGAGAGGGCAAAAGAGAATTTTGTGCCCACACACAGGAACATGTGGGGTTAAGATTACCCTGCCTGAATCAAAAGCACCTCTAATGCTCCCTCACCCCCTTGCTGGAGCTGGGAATGTCAATAATTTGTCACATTTGTCTTAACTTATCTCTGATGCTTAATTGAGAGATAAACTGGGGAAGGGTCTCAGACCCCCCAGAGCATTCAGGCCATTTGCTCTGGCCATGCTCCTCCAGCTGCTCCCCCAGCTCCAGCCCCAGCCCCAGCCCAAGCCCTGCCCAGAGGGTGGGATTTGTGGGATTTGCCCTCTGGGTGTTTCACAATGCCCGGGATCGATGGCCCACATGGGCCTGCAGAGAGGAGGCAATGCCACCAGATCAGTGCATCAGCAGCACTGGACCCCAGCCCAGCATAAATCAATAATTCAACATTTCTGATGCCAAAGGGTCACAGTGGATGGATACAGGGCCCCTCACACCACAGGGACACTTCTCCTGTGCATCTCAGGAGGCTCCTGGACATGCTGGAGGAGAAGCTGAGTAAAACACCATGGATTGCCCTCTGCCACAATCACCCTGCCACGGGCCAGGGCCAGGGCACTGCATCCGTGAGCCTTGGGGCACATTTGCCTGTGAAGCCTCATAAATCCCCAACGTGGCACTGCAGGGGTGCAGCCCGGATGGGAGGACATTCAAACCACAGAGCACAACCCCAGGCTGAGAGCAGAGCCCCTGCTCCCAGCTTGGCCATCTGCCTTTGCTGTGCCAGCTCCCCCTGGGCTGGGCTTTGCCATTGGTGCTGCAGAGCACCAGGTAAAGGCAGACACAGCTCCCCACAGATGCCCAGGGGAGCACCCCAGCCCTGGCAGCAGCACAGGGGGCAGAGCTCACCCTCCCCAGGCAGGGAAAGCCTCCCAGGCCCTGACACCTGCCTGCCTCTGATTCCCTTGATAAATCCCCACAGCAACGCCCAGGCTGGGGCCACCTCTGGCACCCCAACACTGGCACCCCCATGGGGTGAGGGTCTCTGCCCCACTCCTACCCTGGGCAGCACAGGACACCAGTCAGACTCCCTCCAGCAAAAAAACCCAATGATAAAGGAAATCCACCCCAAAGTGTTAAAGGAAATCCACCCCAAAGTGTTAAGGCTAAACTTATCTTTGAAACAAATCTTTGAAACAAATCTTTGTTCCTAGAAGGGGCCGATTTAGCCCAAAGTCAGGCAAAGCACAAGCAGCAGCGTCACAGCCCCATCTCCACATCCACCCCTTCCCTGAGACCCCAACCAAACAGCTGCAGCTCCATCCTGCAGATCCTGCTGCTTCTCACTTCTGGATGTCCTGGACTGGTGCCACATCCCCCACGGATGGGGTGCTTTCCTCTCCCCAGGTGTGAGAGCAGAGTGGATAAACTGGGAACAACTGTGGGGAATCCTGATTTTTCTGTCCCTGGTGCTGCCCCACCAGGCTCTTCCCCTGCAGTGGCTCTGTGCACCATTTTCTAGCCAAAAGCAAAACTTCAGGGAGGGATGTTTCCTACACGGTGACTTCATGGAGGTGTTGGTCCTGCTGGAACCATCCCTCTGAATGTCCCTGCAGGGAAACAGCCCCCAGGGCCTCACTGGATGCCCACCAGCTCCGTTATGGGGGGAGCATGGACCATCAGCTCCTCGTATCTCTGCAGGAAGAGCCAGAGCCTGGAGCTGTACGTGTCCTCGTTGTAGGGCAGCTTCTTCTGCTTCAGGTACTGAGACACGATGGGTTTGATCTGCAAAGGCAAAGGAGACGTCGCTGCTGTGCAGGGTGCCCTGTGTTTGCACAAGGTGCCTGAAACGTGCCCAGAAAAGCCATCCCACATGCCCACAGCTGGGCTGGAGCAGGCAGCACCAGCTGTAGTACCCTTGCTGTGAATATTAAGAGGAAGGTGGCTTCCAGTTGCAGCATCACAGGGAGTTCACCCTGGCAAAACGCCTTTGGAGGGCTCCAAATTAGGAGAGATGCCCTAATGAGGCTTCTAATGAGAGCCAGCCATGAATGCTCATTGTTCACACCCAGCCATGAATGCTCATCGTTCACACCCATCATTATTGGCCCACACAGCCAGCTCCTTGATGGGACTGGGAGGCTGCCACAGGTTTAGTTACCTCCTTCCCTGTGACACCTCTCTGGGGGAGGAGGGTCCTGCCAGCCCCCTGAGCTCAAGCAAAGGACACTGAACACAGGGGCACAGCATTGCTGTGTGATCCTGTGCTGAAGGGCGCTGTATGGACCTGCCTTGGGATCCCCTCCAGCCGGGGCAGTGCTCAGAGCCCACGTTTTGAACACTGCCCACACCCCAGAGCAGCAAGTAAGGGCATGAGCAGAGCGATAAGAGATTTGCCTGGATGTTGCCTGAACCAAAAACTGCACTGTACAATGCTGGGGATGCTTTCCCAATGGAATCACTGGGAGGATCCTGGACTGCTGGAAGGCTGCTGCAGGCTGGAATTGGGGCCAGGAGAAGGAGCAGGGAGCAGAAACCCAGGAGAACAGGACTGGGATGGCAGGAGATGGGTTAGGGACTGTTGCAAAGCAGTTTCCAACATGGGAAGGAGCAGCACAGGCAGGTCTGGCAGTGGAGCTGGGAAGATTTCTCGTCCCCATGTCACCTCCCAGTCACCCTGTGGGGTCACCTCACCTTCAGGCACATGTTGTCAGAGAGGCTGGGGAAGAGGTGATGCTCCACGTGGCAGCTGATGAGCGAGTGGCCGAAGGACCAGTCCAGGAGGGGGTTGCGGGGCAGGTTGAGGACGCCCAGGCTCATGAGGTGGATGCGCCGGGGTTTGCGGTCGGCGGCGAACATGGGGAGGCCGATGTGCTGTGGGACAGGCAGGGTGGGCACCCTGTGGCACCTCCCCAGTGCCATCCCAGCAGAGCCAACGGCAGCTCTGCCTGTGTGTGGGCACAAGGAGCCGCATTTTGGGGTCTCTCTGTCAGCCCAAGAGCTGGGTTTGTCCCTAAAGTCACCCCATCTTGTGTTTGTCCATGGAGCCACCAGGGAGCTCCCAGGCTCTGCTCTCCCAGCACATCCACACTTAGAGCCAGCAGCCTCTCCCCACCCTGGGGCCTGTAACACCACCTGAAACACATCAGCCCTCCCAGCCACTGCAGAGGACATCATCCTCACACCCATCATCCTCACACCCTTTGCACTCATCTGCCCTGACATTTTCCAAGAGCCACCGCTTTCCACCCAGCACCACCAGCCTGATCCTCCTGGTGACAACATCAGCACAAGGGAGGTGACAACTGAACCCACATGCCTTAAGGTGACACAAGCTCCAGCCAGCAGCATCAGGGCACTGGGTGGTGGCTTGCCTGTCTCCAGCACTGCTGGGATACCTTGAAGCTTCAGGTCTCTACCTGGAAGATGTTGACATGGATGTAGGGATGGGCCAGGAGGGAGCGGGTGACCAGCATGCAGAGCAGGGCAGACCACGGCGACTGGAAGCCCGAGACGTGGAGCAGGAGCCAGTAATGGCAGTAAAACCCCAGAAACATGCAACAGAGGGTCCGGAGAGCTGCCTTCCACTCCACATTCCTCAATAAATCTGCACAAGGAAGAGAAGGCAGCGCATGGGAGAGGTGTTGATGTTTCCCCATCACCACTGCTGCTCCAGCAGTCAAGCTGTGCCAATAGCCCCACAGCCCAGCCCAGCCCATGAACTCACTTTTCCCATCCTCCAGGTTGGCCTAAACCCTATAAAAACTGCTGGGAGACTCCCCAGAGCAGCAGATCCAGCTGTGCAGCATCACTCAGGGGATTTGGACGCACCTTCGTTTCTCACACTTTGCCAAGTCATTGGCCGTGCATTTGGCACTGCCCACAGCTGGGTCATGCAGCCTGGAGAGCTTTGCTTCCCCAGCCTCTTACTGCTTTCTGGGCTCTTCTCTCTGATTGCTTTCTGGCACCATTATTTCCCTGGAGCCACCACCTTTCCTGCCCTGTGTCTGGCCCCTGCATTGCCCCAAACCTCCACCCCATACACGGCCACCAAACACCTCGTGTGATGCTCTGATCAACCTGAGTGTGCGACTGAACCCCATTATGGCCACAGATCTGAGTTAAAGGAGAATGGAATTGGGGTGCTGCAGGCTCATGATGGCTTTTGCCTGGGATTTCAACATCCAGCCCAGGAAAAGGTGAAGCGTTTTCTCAGTAGATGCAGAAGATGTGGTCCCCAGAGCAAGTGCAGCATCTCCTGCCCTTCCTGCAGTGTCCCACCAGGAACTGGTGTAGTTCATGTGATGCCTCCAAACAAAGCAGGACCCTTGGGTGGGGTGAGACTGAGGGGGAAGTCACGAGCTTCCCACACCCAGCACCCTGTCCCAAGGCACGTGGGACACGTACCAAGAGCAACCAGCGGGGTTAGGATGGGCACTGCCAGAGGAGCGATGAACATGTAGACGTAGCGGTTCAGGAAGGGAAGTTTCCACGTGCTGGAGTCCCCCAGGCCAATGACGTTGGTGTAGCCGTGGTGGATCTTCACATGGTTGTAGGTGGCCTGCTCGACTGTGAAAGCTGAGCAGAGCTGGGAGAGGAGAGAGAGAAGTTGCCAGGGTTGGGCACTGCCTGACTTGGGCTTGTGTGGGAGGAACCCGGGGAGATGCTCTGGAACTGTAATGAAACATTACGGGGAGATGCTCTGCACCCCACAGACCCCAAACCAGTCTGGAATGGACTTTTAAGAGTTAAGCACTAGAAACCTTTCCCACCATTCCAAACATTTCCCACCACCACAAGGTGCCGATGAGGTGTTTTTGGGGGCTGCCCCACTCACCTCAATGAAGAAGACAGCCCACACTTTGCTCCAGGACTTGGACTCAGTCAAGGCATTGTGGCTGGCCAGGTGGCTGCCCTTGACGGTCAGGGTGTGATGCACCACGCCAAGGGTGAGGACACCCGCCAGGAAAGGGATGGCCTGGGCTGACCGCAGGCACAGGAACCCTGTGGAGAAACCAGCCGGGCAGGAGCTGGGCCATGCTCATGTCCTGCAGCCCTCCGAGCCAGGCTGGAGGTGTTGCTACGCCCAAACACGCCAGCCACGGCCCTAAACCTGTTCTTCAGCCGTAGTTACAGGTATTAAACCATGCAAGCCAGAGTTTGCCTCCTCATCATCCTCGTGACTGGATCAGCCACACTCACCCTTGTGCTGAAGATCTGGCCACTTCCAGCCTCGATGGCAAGGAGTGCTGCAGGTGCCTGATCCCACCCCACAGCTCTGGGATGTGGGATTCCACTGGTGCCATTACTCTGCCAGGATCTCAGCATCCCCAGGAGTTCAACAGCAAGACAAGGTCCCAGCTTTCCAGCCATGCCACCAGAGACCCACGCTCAACTGCTTTCCCTTGCACCCACCACAGCCAGGGCCACTGCCACCAAAACCACCATGTCCCATGGTGGGACACATCACCCACTGTCCTGCCCTGTGTACATCTGCCTGGGCACCAT